CGACTGGATTTCTTTGAATTATTGTGTGATAGAGGATGATAACTTGTGATTTTGATGTGTTGATTGAAAAATGTTTGAGGACAAGCATTGAATAAGTGAGGGGGAATTTAATGTGTAGTTTAAAAAGTCATTATTTTATCCTTAATTACTCTTCGTTGTTTAGTTTTTGTTGTTGATTTGGGGTTTTCTTTTCATTTTCTGTGAGAACGTTAGATTCCAAAAATGACACAAAATGGTGCAATTCCGTAGATTTGTTTTTTATTTTCTAGATTCAAGGATGGATTAATGGGCATATCTTTTGGCATGATTGCATCTGACCCAACAACAACTTCTAGAATATCCAATCAGGGTCTTCCAGAAGGTCCGATCAGCATTCTTGAAAAACAGACGATCAACTTCAAATTCGAATTCGAATTTATTTTTATTTTTTAGGAATTATCATTTAGAACCATCTCTTATTTTTTAAGAATTATTATTAATAACTATTTCCTATTTATTCTGATTTAATTTTTAGGAGTTAATTTTTCTTGTATGATTCAAGAATTTTATCTTGATATTTCTACGTATTTTTAGGATTTTTAGGAGGCTATAAATACCCCACCTGGGTAAGCCAAAAGATATCTCTGATCTCTCGAACTACTTTGTTCTTTACTTTATTTAGTCAAGTATAGCTTTCTTTAGTCAAGTATAGCTTTCTTTTCTTTTCAATTTCTTTATTTTTCTTTTAATTTCAAGCATGATTTCTATCATGTTTGGCTAATTTTTCAATAAGTCAAAGGCTGCAGCTGCGACTCAATCCAATCTTGTGAGAATCAAAAAAGGTACGTAAGTTACTTAGATTATTTTCTTGAATTTTCGGCAAACCAATAAGGCAATTGACCTTTGTTCAACATCTCGACATCTTCAATCCAAGGATTGCACATTGGCTTGATCGACGTTGCGATCTACAATTGGGGATGAGAATCGGCTTGTAGCAAGTTCAATTCCCTAAGTACAAACTTAGTGGCGGTCAACTAAGGGAAATCAAGATTGGGTTCAATTATCATTGAGATGCCATAATGCTAGCATTGGCTCTTCCAATTCCTAAACCAGTACCGACGTTAACATCAATAGATGTTGTTAATCTGAGTAAGGGTTGTATTCTAAAGATTGACTTTGGAATATTAGTTCACTAGAAAGAAGAATAAGTTACAAGGGTTAGACTTTGTAGACTGTAACCGGCAAGTATATAAGGTAAAATCTATTTCAGTGATCGAGACAAGATTGAGGCAAAGCAAAGCTGGAGGTTATCTTTTATTAATTATTTTTTCTGCAATTTACTTTTTTCGCTTTAGTTATTTAATTTTAGTTTAATTGATTATTTCAAACCCCTTCTTTTTAATTATTTGTTTTTACATGTTTCTTGGTTAGAATCAAATCAAATTAGAAACATATATTTCCAGAGTCCTTGTGGATCGACCCTTCTTCTCACTATTCTATCTATATTATTTCTTGAGATGAAGAATAATTTATTTGATAGGAAAACGATGCTTGTAGGAGTCGATTACAATTGAGGAATGATAAACACCCTCGAATTGCTCTTTCGATACCACCCGATTATTCGGTTGTCTTAATTGTGAAAATTAAAGTTTAGGCAAAAATTTAAAGAAAATATCCAAATTACCTCTGAAAATTGGTTCTTATAAAATTAAACAAATTAGGATATTGTATAAAATGTAAAATAAAAGTAGGTCTAATCTGCAGGAAAAAAGGGTTCACGGGTACCAGTATATAATAAATGATACAATTCATACGAATAAATTAAATAATAAAAAATACTAAACTTTAAAATCATGTGATATAAATACTAAAAAAATAAACAAATAAATATAACATAAATAAATAAAATAAAATAAGGAAAACAATAAAAAGTTAAAGTAAAAAAGAATTAACTTTATGTTAAAAAGGAAATAAAATTAGGTTAAAACCTCAAAATTCAAGATAAATTAAACCTAATAAAATTAATAAATAAAGATATGAATAAATAAAGTTAAATAATAAATAAAGTCATCGTGCAAACTAAAACAATAATTTTAGGAACTTAAAAGGAATTTTAAAGATTGAAATAAAATAATTTTAACAAAGAAAGATAAATTATAATGAAATAAAGTTAGAAACAAAGTATAAAGATTAAGTCAATTTATATGGAAATTAGGAAGATAAAAATGGAATAAAAAAGTGTAATAAGGTGGAATTAAAAAAATGAAATTATTCATATTAAAACGGTGACTAAAAAATAAAAAAAATTAATGGTTGGAATGAATTAAATAAACATTAAAATTTTAATTTTAAAAAATTAAAATCAAAATTAAATACATTTTTGAAAGAAATTGCATGGGCAACAACCATAGTTTATCCCCTACCCATTTAAAAAGTGTGAAACCCAAAATTAAATACATTTTGGGTCATCGAGTCATTTAATTGAATGTAAAATCCTCAAAAAATTAGATCAAAATGAATAACTAAATAAATTAAAAAAATTAAGATCCACCATCGATTTTCATTGAAAAATTCAAGTAAGGATAAATCTATGAAGATTATTTCAAAGCCTTTGTTCTTTTGTCTTCTCTAATCCTACGGAGTTTTTAAGTTAAATCAAGACTGTGATCGATCGAAACAACAAAAATAATATAAAGATAAAAAATAAAAATGGAAATATTATCAGTTTTCACAAAGTAACCTCAAGAAAGGTTAAATCTATGAAGATTAGTTTAAAAATCCTTTTTTCCTTGTTAATTGGTTTCTTCTTCTCAAAAAGAAAAAAAATTAAAAGAAAGAAGACAATAAAAACAAGACCGAATTTGAACAAAATGACAAAAAAAAATAAAGCTAAGGAATAACTTTTAGTCAAAGGTTTTCTTTTATTGCTCCTCTCTTTTTCAAGTTAAAATCCATGTCTCATTACAAAATAAGAATATATATAGCGTCTTTATCTCTACTCTACAACATCTTTATCTCTACTCTAAAGATGAAACATTAATTCATCTTCAGCACTATCTCTACATTACCACCAACTCTACTTTATTAAAAAATATTTAACTATTAGTATGTTTATTTATCTAATTTCAATGTATTTTTATCTATCTTGCAATTTAATCTACTTGAATTTATTATATTATTTTTATTTTTTATTTAACTATTAGTTTTCTCAACTCTAGCATTGAAAGTGAAGATGGGCTAGAGTTGAAATTCATCTTCAAAGTTGAGATTTTCTCTACTCTAACGATGCGCTGGAGATGGTCTTATAGGCTTCCAAAAATTCTAAAAACAAAAAACCTAGAATATTTTCATTAATATTAAATACACTAACTAAGAAAAATAATATTAACATAATGAAAAGATTTTAACTTTCCCTAAATAAATAAAGAAAAATATAAAGCTGAATTTGTTCACAAATAACCCATAAAATAATTGAAAATTTGGAATAAATTAAAATTGTATTGGGTTGGTATTTAATTTTCTGCACGCATTGTCTTCGCTAAAATAAACAAATCTTGATTTTTCGATGTCCGATTTAGGTGTTTCAAAATGCGTTGGAAAGCTAATTGAAAGTCGGTCACATCTCAAGAAAACACTATGCCCTAGAAACATTTGAATCTTGCTTGAAAATTTGTTGCAAGTCGGCTGATGTCTTGGGTTTCAAAATCAGCTTCAATAAAATGTTTGGAATTTAGGAAAAAAAAACTAGGCCGGATAAAAATCGGGTGTTAGAATATATATATATATATATTGATGGTTCATACAGATTTGCTTGAACTTGCAGCACTGTACAAAACCCTAGAAAGCTATCCAAGCAGCAGCTGTACCGGCAAGTGGAGGCTGATCTTCCAATATAACAGTTTTGGGTTGCTATCAAGTAATCAAACATTCGTATTAAAAAATAATTAAAAGCAGTTTTTGCTTTGACATAAAACTGTGGGGGCGCTTTGACATAAAACTGTGGGGGCAACTGATCATTATGGTAGATCAGATGGACCGATAATTCCATAACAAGATTGTGGGCAGGTTTGAGCAACGAAATTGAGAAAACGAAAAATCACCACGAATCGAGTAAAATGGTTAGGTTTGGATTTATTTTTAAACGGTTTGGTTTTGGGTTGATTTAAAGAATCAACTCTATTGATTCGATTCGGTTTGGGTTTTTCATATGGAACCCACTTGTTCTATATTGAACCGAATAGACAAAAAAAATTTGAATTTATAGTTTCAAGTAAATTTTTCATTGAAAACCCGATAAACCGAACCGAAAAATCCGAATTATCAAATTGAACCGAACCGAAAAAAATCGATTTCACATAATTCAGTTTTTTAACCATTCAATTTCGGTTTAAATTTTAAAAAATCGTTTATTTCGGTTCAATTCAATTTTTAATAAAAAATCAAACCGAATACACTCCAAATTGTGGGGCTCTTTTACTTTTCATTTCTCTTCCAAAAATGGACCATAAATAGTAAATTAACTTCTGAAAACACTAAAACATCTTTTGTTTTCTCTCCTTCAATGCAACTCTCTCTCTTTCTCTGTGCGCTAAGGACCACAAACCATTGCGTGCTTCATGAAATTTTCGAATTGCGGGTCCTTTTTCACCCTATTTTCCCCAACCTGCTATTTCTTTCATCATGACATTATTCTGTTGGATCTTGTGTGAGCTTGACACATCTAGTGCCTCAAATCCCTTCATCTAGTTTGCTTGATGGTATATATAGTGTTATATTTTAGGTTTTTCATATAAAATTTTAGTATTTGTTTTATAATACTATCATATATTTGTCGTTATCTTCTAATGTAGAGAGAAAGTGCATTTTGTTAATATTGCTCTAGCAATGTAAGACATAATGGATATCATACTTCAACCAAAAAAAGAAGGTAAGAATATGTGTATACCATCAAACTATTGATAAGCATCAAATATTGATTATAATAATTTTAGCAGTATGGCTCCTATGGGATTCAAAATCTGTATATGAAGATCTGGTTTTTCCTATCACCCAATGAATCACAAACAATGAAATCAAAACACAAAAAACTTGATTGTTATCCCCCATAACTTATAACCAAAACTTACAAGTAGAAATGCCTTTAGATTAAGTATGCAAATAGATTCAAACAGTACCTTTCTTTCTAATCATCCCTCCTCAATGATTATTACTTCTTTCTTGTCATTTAGAAGGAAACTCATGTTCCTTATCAGGCTGACCTCCGTTGCTGTTAATGCTCAAATGGAAGGGTCTGATAGATTGGCTTATTGAGTAGGGTGGTGGAGGGTTAAGAGAACTAGGCAACAAGGTTTGAGTAGCCGAGTTGAGCATTTGGAAATGGTTAACTTGTTGTCTAGGATCAAGCATTTGAGAACCAGATGATAGGGACAACGTGGATGGAAATGGTAATGGCGCAACATTAAAATTATGTAGATCTTCTGTGTGGGAAGAAGCAAATCCATGGGTACCTAAATTTGATGAAGGAAAACTTGGAGGTTCAAAATGATAGTAAGAAACATATGAAACTGCATTGCTTAACATGCCTTGTTGTTGCTTTTCCTCTTCATTTCTTTTGTTCCAATCATCTTTCTCATTGGTCGTTTCCCTTGAAACTTCTTTGCGTTTAGCCCTCCAAAAAGCATCAGAGTTCCAACAGCTGGAACTTGTTAACTCACCTGCAGGATCTTCCAAATCAACACTGCTACTGGTTTTGAGCCCTTGTTTGTGGCACTGGGAAGCACCAGCTGCTTCCATTTGATGGTTAAAGGGAAAGTTCCCTAGTGGAGGCGATGGGAGTGGAGGGAGTTCATCGATTTCATGTTTCGCTACATCCAGCAACCAATCGACTGCCTTGCTTGGCTGATTAAGTCCGAGTCTGTCTTGAAGATCATACAATTGAATAGCTGTGGGAACCGAAAGCCTCACCCTTCGGTCTCTCAATCCTCTAATGGTGCACACTTTACTGTGTCTGTCCTTTCCCCCAAAGGCACGCGAAACGCGTACGACTCGTGGATCCTTCAATCCTAACCATTGGGAGGAGCTAGATTGGCCTTGACTGCTCAGCTTGGCATCTTTTGTGTCGCTTTGTTGTCTGGGAGAAGAAGAATCTGCTTCCTTTGAACTTGCATTCATCTTAGGTCTCTCATTGTTGAACCATAAGGCAGGTGGATCCCAGTTGAGTTAATCCTTTCAGCTGCATATCATCTGAATTGCATCATCAAAAGGAAGATCAGAAAAAAGAAGACAGAAAGTAGATCAATAAATAGAAAAGAAGATCCCAACTGTTCCTCAAAAGAAAAATAAAATTTTCATATGAATAACCCTAATTTAGATTACAGTCAATAGCTACTTACTTAGATCATTAAGTGTACGTATTTATAACCCTAATTTCCATATCCTCTTTTTCATATAGAAACTAAAACTCAGACTAGGCTTGATTGATCAGTGGGCAAGAGAAAAGCTAAGAAAAGATGGAGGATGTGAAGCAGATCTATCACTAACATAGAGAGATCCAGAAGAAAGAGCAGATTCTTTTGAATTAATTTAGAAGTCGTTGAAAAAAATTCATTAGGTATTCCTACGAAAAATCTGGAAATCAATTGAAACTTACAAAAATATTGATCAAACGTTTGAGTGTACCAGTTAATGCAGCACCTTGAAGCTTTTGGTGCTGGGCTCAACCAAACTCGCTGCTTGTATATTGAAAGATGAAAATATGCTTGCTTTTTAGAAAAAACCTTGTTGATGAAGTTCATCCACTTGACAAAAAAGAAAAAGAAATGAAGCGAAAGAAAGATGCTGGAATTTAACCGACCATCGTCCATGGAAGAAATTAAGAAATTTAATTAAAAAAAAACAATGACAGTAGGATTGCCACGTGACACATTTCACCATATGTTAAATAGTCTATGACTCTGTAGAGATAGAATCCATTGATATGGTATAACATTTTACATTAAATTTAATGATTAAAATTAAGAATAATAAATATGTAGTATATACCATTGTTTCCTCTCTTACAGGCATATTAAGCAATCATTGAGACCATTCCGAGGGGCTTAATCTTGAGAAACAAAACAAGACTAGGAATTATCGAATTTGAGAAAGCAAGATCTAAGCTTAATTATTTATAAATTAGAGAAAGAGGGGTAGTCATAGAGTAATTAAAGATCAATTATCTCTCATTGTGTTACCCCAAAAACAAATTGAAAATAAGATAAGAGGGGGACCATGCTGCATATGTTTGAAAAAGGGATAGAGGCATGCTTTTATCGACAACTACAAAAGGACTTGCGACTGAATCCCTATCACATGGGGTTGATGAATATGCACGCCTAGCTACTACTTCTACAAGGGATGATGTTCATGTGACCAAATTTTGGAACCTCAACCTTTTACTTCTTTTCTTTCCATTTTTTTAAAAGAAAGAAAAAAAAATTGTTGGATTTTACTGCTTTGTTCCCACTTCCCGTTGCAATTTCAAGGAAAGATGTATTGTTGTTTCGCGGTTTACTCTTTTTAGTTTAGATGAAAAATTACGGTTGGTGAGGTAACAATCCTTGGGAGATGATTCTTTATGATAAGAGATAAAAGCATAAGCGAGAAAATGGGAGTGAAAAAGAAAAGTGGAGAGGAGCATTTACTTCAACGTTTTCTCGAGATATAAATACACTAGCTATGGGATGATTAGTGTCAGACCTATAATGATGAAGGCTATCTATAGGTTGATTAAATAAGATGGCTACATCTGTTGGAGCATATTTGACTCTAATAAATCATATGAGACTGTCAAAATTCTAATCGTGAGATCCTAGTCATTCAGGAGTATGAAACTCGTAGACCAAAACACTATTTTTGAAAAATATCTTTGGAGGTATAATATGTGTCAATATATAAATACATTATTCAAACTCTTTTAGATTATGGTCGTGTCCGTCGCATGTTTAATGAAGGAGAATACTTGATTCATAGGTTACATCTGGAGGGTTGGAGATTAAACGACAAACAAAGCCTACCAAGACAAGTCCTTTGGTTAAGCTTGACAAAACTTGTGGCGTGTTGTCAAGGGGAATAGTCAATTTGATGGTGCTTTGAGAGTTATTTGAGACATTAACAGCTACCTTACAGGATTGTGACCAATCTATATAGATATATGCATACATAAACATCCAAAATAGGACCACACAACTTTTGTGCAGGAAGATAGATATGCATGACCGGCAAGTTGCAATGTTTGAAAACCTAACAGCCCAAATAAAAACAACTTGGATGGGGAATTTTTTTTCTTTAGTAGCATCAGCTAGTGCCGTAGGCAAATTCATTTTCTCATATTGGGAAAATATATTGAAATATTATCGAAAATGAAAAACAATTCAAATGACTAGGTTTATAGAAATCATATAATAAAATATATGTCTGGAATTTATATACATATGATTTTAACTCTTAATTATTAATAATGTGCATACATCCTATAAATATATTTACTTGAATAGGATTTTTTTCAGAAAAAATAATATTATCTTTTACGATTTTCGATTTAATTATTTTTCTATACGTAAAAGTTTCTCCTCCTGTATTTGGTATATGATTTGGTATGAATATGAACTACATCTTCCGGGGCAAGCAAAAATAGAAACCCTAGGGCTATAGATAAAGAATGAATTGCAAAGCAACTTTTCGGTCTTCGGATTGTGATTTTATCTCTAATTCCAGAGAAAGAAAAATAAGCAACAAGACTAGGATAAGAAAACAAGTAACTTTTGATCCGGTCTTCAGTTTTGCTTTCTCGATGAAATAGACAAAAACTTTACCTGTCAAAACATGCAATCCTTGTATCACATGATTGAAAAAAAATAAAAAAGATGAAGTTATGCTAAATTGATTAAATGCAGTGATTATTTATTAATTTAATTCTATTTCATATTAATAATGTATATTAATTTATGTTATTAATGACATATATCGACGTGAGATATTTATTATAAATTCATTCTGTAATAAATTATTTTATCTTAAAAAATTATCATTTTGATTATATTTTATATGCATTATTATTAAATAATATGGTATGCATTATTATTAAATAATATGGTATGTAAGGAAAAAAATGATGTCTTAATCAATATTAAATCTCAAATTGAATTTTAGATAATATTTTTCCTTTAGAAAAGAATCAAAGTTCTAATTATTTGTGTTCCTACAAACTCTAGCCACTTAATTTTCAAGGAGACGCCACACCTATCAGTTACATTTATCCATAAGCTTTGCTATCACGCATCTATCTACAGTGCAATTCCACGCCGATTTCTTCCTATCTTGAAATTTATTGTGGCCGGAAAGGTTGAATATCTAATTAATTAGCTTTTGGTTTTATTCTATACATACACAGCATGTTTTTCACAATCGCTTTTAATAAGTAAACCAAACAATTATTTTAGAATCTATTAAGTAATTTCAGTTAAAGAAGTTATTATTATTTTTTTAGAGATTTTGGATTCAAATAACTCTATTTATGTGTGGCACGTTATTAGTAACTAAAATAGTCTGAACATATATTATATTATGTTGTAATTACTCTAAATTATTTAAAAATATTATTAGTTTTTATAAAAAAAATTAAATTCGAATAATTATATCTACAAATTATATACTCGTTAATAATATAATAAAAAATATTAATAAATACTATTTTATTGTAATTTCAGATAATTAATATATATAGATATACACATATAGGGGCAGGATCCAATTATATCGTGTAAAGTTCTTTTAGTTTTAAATCTTTTTAGGACCATTCAATAAAAGAAATTAAATATTGAGAATAACAGTAGAAAATGAAAAGATATTCCCTAAAAACAAAGAGTTAATCTCAAACTTTGATTTTTCTCAATCCAACAATCTATACAAGGTATAAAATTAAAAGATATTTACATAGTATAAATAGATCCTAATATATATATAACTCGAATCATTGACATTTATTGCCATGGAGCTTTGATACATTTCAAATCATTAACAAACTATACAAAGTATAAAACTAGAAGAGAATTATATTGTGTAAATAGATCCTATTATATATATATATATATAACTCAAATCATTGACTTTTATGGCTATGGAGCTTTGATACATTTCAAATCTAATTTTCTGAATATAGTCATTTTATTTTTAATTTAAAATTACTAATATTATTAAAGTTGGTGATAATGCTTGACATTATTATCGCGAGTGCTTTCATTAAAAGATGAGTAACTTATCATAATATATATATATATATATTATTAGCTTAAAATATATTCCATTTTCGTTCAGACTGAACTCTTGATTTCATAATTAAGAAATAATTTTTGGACAAATTTTAAATTTAATTCTAATATTATTTACAAAAGAGAAAAAAATAGAAAAAAAATTTCTTAATGGATTTAGAATTCATTACATAAGAGAATATAAAAAAAATAAAAATAAACAACTTGATCAACCAGGCAAATATATTTACTAATAATTAAGGAATAAGTTAAGCAATCATCACAATATTATACTTTATCGAATAGAATGATTATAACAATTGTTGTTAAAAATATATATTTCTCTAATTAATTTTAAACTTTCATTTCCCTATTTTTTTCTTATTATTTTCTTAAATAAGCCCCGTATTTATTAGCTCCTTTACAAACAGCTAAATTGATTAAATTTAAAGATTGAATTAGTCGATGAATTCACTTGCTCCGTGTGAAATCGGATCACTTGCCTATTTTCCTATCTCTTGCAGTTTCTTCCGACAGATATAATGCTCAGATGTTCAAGTATCTTTCTGGCAGGTCCCTTCATGGTGATTTTAAGCATTGTTAGTTCTCATTGGGAAGATACTATTCCTCTTGCTGACACCACTTCTAAGTTCTCTAAAGCGGTTGACATTTGGAATAAAGAGATTTTTAGATTCATTGGACGCAATAAAAAATGCTAATGTTCAGACTTCGCGGTGTTCAAAAGAGGCTTGATCAACGCTGATTTCAAAACCCTGTGGGTCTCGAGGTCAAGCTTCTCATTGAATTGGAGACCGTTTTTGACCAAGAAGAAAAACTGTGGATTCAGAAGTCCAGAGCCGACTAGATATCCTTTGGCGTCCGTAATATAAAATTCTTCCATTCCAAGGTCATTCTAAGACGCTGATAAAACTCGATCCGCAGTCTGAAAATCCAGAATGATGAATGGTGTGATGTTGAACCCACTCTAAGAGAAGAAACGAAATATATCCCATTTCGGGCACCTTCCTTCTTTGTCGAACACAGTCTTCTCAACTTTAACCTCCCCTCCTTCGAAAGACGAAATAAAAAATGTTTTATTTGCAATGGATCCCCTGAAAGCACTTGGAATTAACGGTTTTCATGTTCATTTTTTGAAGGAATTTGGACATTGTCAAACCATCTCTAAGTGTCATGATTAATTCGGCTTTCTTGCACCATAATATTGATGCTTCTCTTAATCGTACAATCCTTGTTCTTATATTGAAGGTGGCTAATTCGGAGACTTTTTTCAACTTTTTCCAATTTCTTGGGAAGTAGTGGTCTGTTAGTGTTGTTATCGTGGTGCTAGTTGAATTCTACAGTGGAACGGTTGAGTGGATGGTGTTTGTTTTTGTTTTGTTGAGAGTTTCATGCTTCCAAGCTTGACGGCATTTGGAAGAGATTAGTGCTGGATTCTCCATTGTATTAATGCGGTAGTTGAACTTTCTTCGAGCAATTCGTCTGGTGGATCGCTATGGTGCTAGTGGAAGTATTTTTGTGGACTCTGTATGAGATGCTGGTGTCGAGGGAGCCC